CTGGGGAAGGGGGCCCAGGGGGATGCTCAGGGCTGGGGGTAGGGGGCGCCAGGCGTTGGGTGGGGGAGCACCCGGGACCTCCCAACGCCAAACGCACCGGCCCCTTCAGCCACCCTCGCTGACGCCGGCTCCGCTCCAGGCCAAGCCTGGGCGCCGGGCCACGACGGAGCATCCGAGGATACCCCGCACAAGAAGTCAGCTGAGGGGAGAACGGAGTGCAGTGGACGCCGGCAGGGGTGACACACGGTGTCCAAGATTTCATACCTAGAAAAAGGGGCCCTTGGGCCGGTTGTGAAGGCCATAGAGAGAAGTCGGGGAAAGGAATTCCAAGCAGATAGAATGGCATGTGCTAAGGCCGGGACTTTAGTGTGACTCCAGCCAAGAGGGAGGGTGAGGGTCGAGGCGAGATGGGGTTGCTCTCCAGAGAGATGGGAGCCGGGGAGGGCTTGGGGAAGGACAGATTGGTGTTCCGCACGGGTGAGAGAAGGGTGGTGATAGAGGCGGGCACTGAGGAGCCTGTGCTCAGGGTGGACCAGAAGCGGGAATTGAAAGGACAATGACGTGCACCGGGATCTGGAGGATGTGGAATTCCCGGGTGGGGATACTGGGGTACCACGAGCAGCCGGCTGGGAAAGCCAGTGTGGGACAGACAGCGGGACCAGGACCTTGTGTGGAGGGCGAAGATCAGAGGACAGGATGCTAGGATTGGGCACAGGGGTCGGAGGACCGGGTCGGCGGTCAGAGGCCACAACGAGGTCAAGGACATCTCCGCGCGGGGGTTAAGGAGCCGGCGTGTGCCTTGGCGTGTGTTAGGAGGCTCCGCTCGGGCGGGAAGCTGGAAAGGCGGCCACAGAGCTTGGGGCTGAGTCCCGTCGGGGCGCCCTGGGCCGCAGGGCCCTGAGAGGCCGCGCGTCCGGGGGCTCAGCGGTCACGGCAGACAAGGGGATGCAAGGGGGCCGCGCGGGGTTTCCGAGCTCGGATCCCGAGGCGCGCAGACCCCTCCCCGCTGCGAGCCCCGCCTCCGGGGCGGGGGCCGGCCTGGCCCGCCAT